TGAAAAGCACCTTTTGAAAGAAAAGCAAGCACGTCTTCAGGACTGAAAGCTCACCTCTCCCAGTGACAACCAGACCCTCCCACTAACACCCCTTCCCACAGCAGACATACTTCTGGCTTGGGGACTCCATCCCACGAATGCAAACCTGAACATCAATCTACAAAGAGGTCTAAAGAGATAGATAGCAGCGTAGGCACAGGGTTTGGAAAAGGTCCACCAGCTACCCTTGGCACCAGGCAGAATGGAATTCAGAGGTCCATGCAGCGCTGCACAGGGGCTCTCATGTCGTGCTGGGAGCACAACTGCACAGGAGCTGTGAAATATTGTCTTTTGTTCACTAAAGCCATGCATCAAGGTGCCGGTCCATCCAGGGCTCTCCCGCCTTCCCCTTTCCAAGCCCCTGCTGGGTATACGACAAGCCAATCCGGCATGCAAAGGATACAGGCATGCAGGCTCTAGGCTGCTGCTTCTGTTAGTAAGTGCATCTTGTTAGTGGATTTATGAGACACACTTAAACCTATAAAAAATAAATAATCCTAATTCTTCATCAGGCTGGCCTAAGTAACCTTCAGCCTGACCGGATAAACCACTGCCCACCAGCCCTCAAAACCAGTATAGTTTGAAGTTACATTTCATGTCAAGTCTTGGAAGCAGAACATGAATGTCTCCTACCCAAAGGAATATATGTAAACATAACAACAAGCCTGGTGCGGCAGCAGCTCCTACACAAGGTTTGTACAAATTTAAACAACGGGTAGGAAGTTAAACAACTGAATGGAAAAAGAAGCTCTCTGAATGGAAAAAGAAGCTCTTTCAGCAAGTCAGAAGGTGCTCATCTGCAGGCAAACAGCTCTGTACACACAATCCGCTGAAAGCAGACCTGTTACCCAAATCTTTGCTACTCTGCTATACTGCTGGGAACTGACCTCAGCAACTCGCGCCTTAAGATCCTCCCAGGAGTTCTCCGCCCAGGCTCCCAAAAGGCCCAATGAAAAGGACCACGTGATGGTTTATGTGGAGCTCTGAGTAGCAAGATGGCAAAGGACCCCAGATCCTCCCCTCCCCCTTACTGACTCACAAACTATCTGAGATTTCACAGCTTTGCTTAGTCAGCTTAGTGTCAACACATTCACAGAATGAGAGATGGCTATACGTCTTGGGATCGCACCCCAAGATTTCAGAGTTCAAAGTCCTCGGCATCTCCTGGTCACCGTGACTGCACGCCCAGAGTCATCTTCAAGTTTTCATAAACCACGTAACTGATGCTTACAGCTGGGATCACCTTCATAAAGTTCGGCGCCAGACCTCGGTAAAGACCAAACGCTCCCTCTGTCTTCAGAATGTGTTTAAACAGTCCCCTCATCGTCACTTCAGGAGCTCCCTCCACTGACGCTGCAACAGGGAAAGCCACAATTAATAATGCAGTCTATGTGATGAAAACACTTCAAGGTAACACCTGTCTCAAAGAGCAGTTCTGATTCATGTGCTTCCTGTGGATGTTCACAGAGCAAAGGTGCTTCACGGGGGACAGCATCTAACGTCACAGCAAGCCGTGCCCATGCTGCACGTGGCAGCCGTTTTCTCCAACTGCTTTGCAGATGCCCTTAGCCCAAAACTCCAAATCTGAGCAAAACAGAACCTCTGTCCTGCAGGTGCTTGGCCCCAGATGCTAAGGGCAGCTCAAAGTCCACTGTCCTCTTGCAGCATGGCAAATAGCCGACTGCTCAGCAGCACAGGCCAGTTAAGGCTGCTGTTGCAATGTTTACACTGGAGGACCTTTACCCTGCTCAGAGATCATGGCAGGAGTTCCCACAGTTCCCAGAAGTTCTCACCTTGGGCCTGCATGCGTGTCCTCACAAGAGCCAGCGGGTAACTGGCAAGCTGCCCACAGGTACTGGAGATGGTGCCACAAGCCAGCAGAACAAAGACTCCAGGGTCGGCGCTGTTGACGGCGTAGCGCTGCAACCAGGCGTTTTTTAGTGTCTGGAAGGAAGAAGCCAGATGTTAGCAGTGAAGAGGCAATCAAAAGAATATCACGTTACATAAGAGATCTAGCGTAAGGGTCCAGAAAGCTATGTGCAAATTCAGCCAGAAGCATTCGGCTTCTCAAATCTTTTTGAGCTACTGCTATGTAGTGCCTGGGGAAAATCCCTTCTTTAATTTTCTGCTGCAATTTTCTCATAAAAAAAAGAACAAGGGACCACGCATGATGTTAAACAGAGAATCGTTGTATTGGATTATCTTCTAGGCCATTTTGGGTAGAAAAAAAAAATCCATTTGTGCCCCATAAGGCTGATCAGGAAAGCTTTGATAAATTACTTAAACTGCTGTAGTAACTGACAGGTCTGACAGTGATAAAGCTACACAAACAGCACAGCCCTACAACAGGTTAAAGGCTTCATACCTCATAGACTGCCAGGTCAATACCAGCGTATGGAATGATTCCCAGCATGTTGGGGA